CCTAGAATCCAGCTATGTATTTCAGATATATACTACAGTCACAAGCATCAGCCTCTTGGCAGATACTTAACTGAACTGATCCTTCCTTTTGTGCTTCCCCATATTTTCAGCTTTGCTGCTGCTTTCATTAGCTCATCATTACATGCTCTGGGCTAGGAAGGAGAGATGAGTTTCATTTTTGCATTATTCTTCCTGCTACAAGCATGTTCTGCCTGTGTAATATTTGAATACAAAGTCTGAGGAACCAGCAGTAAAGTTATGTCTGAAAAGCTGGAAGACATTCTTCTCCTTCTCTCTCATTTTTACTATTTTTAGTGAAAACAATGTCAAGTAGTATGTTTCAAGTGGTATGTAAAACTTCTAGTTGTCCCAGCCTCTTGTCAGTACGACCCCCTTTCCAGTACCTTCCTCCCATCTCTACAATCTTACTGAAATAGGACCATTAAAACAGAAAGAGAAGTGACATGTAGAAATCATCTGCTGTTCTGAGATGCCCAGAGCAGAAACAGCACTGAGGAAATCAAGGTTTAGAGGCATGTGTACTACTAATAGCACGGATATGTCAATGCTTCTATTACGGAAGTTGCTGATTTTCCATCAGGGCTGACTCCTACAGCAGATGTGCTTCAAGTGCCACTTTACACCGTTTTTCTCCACTACCTTGTGACTGCATAAGCCTCACATCCAGCCTGGACATGTTTCTGGCCTTGACCGTTTCTCTGGTGGTTTGGTCGAGAGTTCTGCAAAACCTAATCTCCATAGGAAATGAATTTATATGAGCAGGGAGAATGACTATTTTTAACTGTCCACTGTTTTTAACCTATCCATTATAAATGATGTGGTGATGTGAGAAGCTATGGTAACATTTGTTCAATTATTCCAATAACAGAAGGGAAATAAAATGAAATTCACAGAATCTCGCAGGTTGTCATAACAATTTGGCATTCTGTTATTGCAGGTTCACCTCCAAAACAGCAGAAAGTGCATTTATTACTTATCAATGTTTGTTTTACTGGGATTAAAATTGGTGGTACATTTTGAAAATGTGTATGTTTAAGCCTTTAAGTAAAGCTTCAAGGTACCAATCATTGGTATTCATGAATAGCAATTATATGGATACTTCCCAGAATGTTCTTAAAAATTAACTGTAGAAAAATATGTTCTTCACTCCATTTTAATTTACTCAAAATGCATGTAATGCCAATCTTAAAAAAATCCAAATGGTCAAGGTGCTTTCTGAAATTCTTACATAGTGGCATATAAAACTAAAAGCTTTGGAAGAATAGCTGCAACAGAACATACAGAACAACAATCAAAAAAAAAAAAAAAAAAAAAAAGAACAGAGACACTCAAATAAATTAATGTCTGAGAAATTGAAGGTCGTGGGTTGAGAAGTTCCAGAGTTGCATATTATCAGAAGCTTAGCAGCTGTAACACAGTGTCAATTTGTTGTTAGCGTCATCTGCTTCCCCAGCTGTTTCCCGTGCCGACTGACTGCAACCACTGAAAAGCCGTCTTGCCCTCCTGAAGCATTGCTCCACCACGGTATGGTGGTGGCATATCCTAAAGCAATCTCCCAGTTTAAATGCACTTGGTAGCAATTTGTTCAGCATGGATGGCTTGATGCCATAAGGTCAAAAATTTAAGGTAATTTACTGTAATTTGTCAAGCTGGTAAAGTGCAAGAAAACAGATATTTCTATAGATAATATGCTCTTAGTTGTGTTGCAGGCTGAATAGAAGAAGTTATGTTTTCTTCTAGAAGCACCGAGGTCTCCAGGTCTTATAATGTTGTAAAATGAACCATTTAGAGGGCTAGAAGCAATTAGGCTATCTACAAGAAATACTGCATACCATCATCACCATACCAACAGCTGTTCTCCATAGCCCATTCTGTAAGTTAGATGAATCTTTGTTGTGATATATTGTCCAAACAGATGTGTCATTCATTATTCCATAGGAAATATTATACCCTTGAAATGAGTGCAGAAGTGAAGTCACTGAGCGCAGGAGCAGAACATAATAACAGTTACAGGCTGAAACAACTCTCATTGCATCAGTAATAATTCTCTCTTTTGATGTAATATAGCCATAATATAGCCATTGTAAGAGCAGATGTCAGTATCTGTGGATTAAAGGGCATGCTCATCTTCTGGAGTCAGTTCCTTACTATTTAGTGACGATAAGTAATACTTAAAGTAGTCATTCCCAAGTTAAAGCTGTCTCTGTTTAGTCAGAACTACAGTAGGAATAGAGTTTTAGAAGAACTACAGTACTGAAGGAACTTGCACTTCACTGCATGCTACTCATACAGGAACAAACAGCTATGTAACAGAGTTTCCCATATTACTGTAATTGATTTTTGGTGGGCTAGCCATAAGATGAAAAAGAAAGGTCAAAAATCTCCCTGTACTGTTCTTTCCTTTCAAAATATTACTGAAGTCTGTGTGGCCAAATAAAATCTTATCTTCTCTGATGTTCTATCTTGCTGATCAAATTTATCCTGACGTATTGCAAATGCAATCTCAGTTTTAAAGACCCTAGTATTTTCATGTAGTCAATGTGATTTTAATGAAGGAATATTTTAGAATTCATTTGAGAAAAGGGGCCCCATCTACTGCCTACTACAAAATCTGTACATTCACAATTTGGGCAACAAGTTCTGCATCAAGCTGGTGTACTGATTGCAAGAGAGCAGTGATTTCCTTTCCTCTGTATCAGGACATAAATCCATGCTAGGAGGTAGGATTAGGACCCAGCGCATACACCCTTGTGGTTCCATAACAGCTTTACAGGGAAGGGGCAATTCTGCCTCAGCCTCTTAGCATGAGGGCATAGCTGCCGCAACATGACCGGGGGGGATTTGATACCTCTTTCTTTCTGAAATGTAGAAACAAAAGTTTCCAAATAAAGCCGATTTGGGAAGGCTCCTGAGGCTTTCAGTTACACATTGTTTGTTTAGCAGGTGATCAGAGGCTTTCTCAAATAGCAGCCAGGCTTAATGGGCTGCATTAAAAAAAGTTGTCCAGCAGGAAGATGGAGGTGGTTGTCCCCCTTTACTCAGCTCTTGTGAGGCCCCATCTGGAGTGCTGTGTCCAGGCCTGGGGCCTCCAGCAAAAGAAGCATATGGAGCTCTTGGAGCGGGTCCAAAGGAGGGCCAGTAAGATGATCGGAGGGCTGGAGCACCTCTCCTATGAGGAAAGGTTGAGGGAACTGGGACTGTTTAGCTTGAAGAAGAGAAGGCTCTTGGAAGACCTCGTTGTGGCCTTCCAGTACATGGAGTGTATAAACAAGAGGTGGAACAACTGTTTATATGGGTGGACAGTGATAAGGCAAGGGGGATCGTTTTTAAACTAAGGCAGGGAAGGTTTAGGTTAGATATCAGGAGGAAGTTTTTCACACAGAGGGTGGTGACACACTGGAACAGGTTGCCCAAGGAGGCTGTGGATGCCCCATCCCTGGAGGCATTCAAGGCCAGGCTGGATGTGGCTCTGGGCAGCCTGGTCTGCTGGTTGGCAACTCTGCACATAGCAGGGGGTTGAAACTAGATGATCGTTGTGGTCCTTTTCAATCCAGGACATTCTATGATTCTATGATTAAAACAAATTTAGGGGATTCACGGTTAAAGCTTGGAGATCCTGCAAAGTTTTCTGTTCTTTCACTGTGCGTCTGCATCTTATGCCAGCCAAAAAAAAATTAACCTTTGAATCAGTCTCACAGCCTGGCACAACAAAATTGGCAGTGAAAATTGCTTGGCAACAAGAGTTGTTGTGGAGAATGGCAGAGCTTGTTTTTGTTGTCCACTTAGGTTCCTCATGCGTCGTTTCTTTATTCACATTCATGGACAATATGTGGATATTACATTTGAATTAACACATAGTTATTTTCTGCAGGTTAGAATTGAGGGACTTGTGGGTATTTTTCTTGCTGTGTAAAGAAGAATAAATGAAGTCATGCACACCTTACAACAGTGCCCAGCAGGGTGGAATTTTAAACAAGACAAAGAAGACACATATGAGAAAATGTCAAGAAAGAGCACCATGACCAGAGAAGCAGTTTTGCAACTCAAAAACCAAGTGTATTAGTATTCAAAATACTGATGAGATATTTATATTAACTGTCTTTGTTATTGTTAGGCTTTTAATTTGCTTTGTAATCTACATCTACTACATTAATTATTAGATGAATAGAAGTATATTGGATTATGCATTAGAGAACAGTCTAGTCTTAACTGGCATGGGCATACCGTTGTTTTCTAGATTGTCTTCTATTATGATTAGTACTAGTTGACAAATTGTTTTTGGACTTCTACTGAAAAACGCCAGTCTAACAAAAAAGGAAATTAAATATTGGCATGAGAATTAACTGTGGCTTCTGAGTACTAAATTGATAAAGACATTTAGAAGCTATTTCAGCTGTGTAGGTCAGGTGAGGCCTCATTAATTATTATGGCCTTTAGAATAAGAAGATAACATAATCACTTTAAAAATCTCAAGCTAATTAAAAATGTGTTTTGTTTTTTTTTTTTGCACTGTTTTGAGTTAATTTCGAAAGTATAGTAGCACACACTGCATTATGTCTATCTTCACTTTTTAAACTTTCAGCTTTCCTCGACTTTTTTTTTAATAATATAATTTGCCCTACTTTTTCAGTGTATATGTAAAGCAGTAAATGTACTGTGTCCAGACCGCTAATTAGTATAATCAGTGACATCTCTGAAGAGATCTACTTCTGATAGAACCAATCATACTTTTTCTCCATTGAGGAAAATAAAAAAAATAATTGTGGAAATTCATAGTTTTCCTGGAATTACATCTCTATTTTTGTGTGCCTTACTACTCTTCAGTTGAACTATGCTGACAAAATCACTAGGTGTCAGATCGGAAATTTAGTTATTCTCAAATATCTCTGAATCAGCAAACAGATACTGTTGTGCGTCACCTTTTTTTTTTTTTTTCTTCTTTTTTTTTAATGAAATGATACTTATTTAATTATTTTCAGATGGCTATCCTAAAGAAGAAATGATTTACAGATGGAGAAAAAACTCAGTGGAAGCTGCTGACCAGAAATCTTGGAGACTCTATCAGTTTGACTTTATGGGTCTCAGAAATACTTCAGAAATTGTGAACACCTCTGCAGGTAAGAATAGCAAAACTTATAAAACTTATAAAATTCAAAGAGTGTATGCTTTATCTATGATTGAATTAAGCTTTGTGGTTACTCAGACTCTGCAGTGAGCTCCATAGTCATCAGTTGGTGAAGTCTTCTTTGAGTCATAGGAGGAACCTGCTGAAAGTAAACACCTGCTTAACTGATGGCAAATTTTTAAAAATCCTATTGTTATTATTATTAGCTATTCTAATTTAGGCAGTACTCTGTTACTGTTTGGGAAACACTGAGGCCAATAAAAAAATGATTAGTCTCTGAAATCACTGATGGTAGGTCATGTCCTACCAACTAACATTAGTAATTTATTCTCAGGACTGGATCCTTTTTGTAATGAAGCATCACTAAAGCTTTAGTGAGTATTTCGGGTTTGTTATTTAGCAGAGCAAAATGTAGCAAACATAAGCATTTTCTTCTATTATTGATATAAATCTCTGTAGCCTGCATTTTTCTCAGGAATGCTAATTCAGGTGAATGAGCCATAAGTTGGACCGGGAGTTGGTGAATCATTAAAATATCTGTATATAGAAGCATATAGGTTGGAGAAATCTTTCAAGATTATCAAATCCACTCACCAACCTGACTGACTGAGTCACTAAACCTATGTCTGTTAGTGATACAAAGTCAAGCATGTACTTGGTGCCAAAGTATGCAGGCACTGCTGGTCATCAGAAGGAATAGGAAAGGTCTACTATTCCTGCTTTGCTCATATCCGGAGTGATGCTATCTTCAGTTTGAATGAAGAGCTGCTAAATTCACTTGCAGGAAGAATTACACAGCTGGCCATATTAAGATGTTGATAGTGTCTTGGTAAGTAAATAGACCTACCAACCTCTTGATTTGCACAGGACAAAAGCATTTTTAGGTTTCTTTCAAGGGAGTAAATTGTTAACTTGGAACAAAAACAAAAAAAAGTTTTTCCCACACTCTTTTTTGTGTGCATCAAGTTCCTTTAAGATGAATGAACTGACAGTGTGTTTCTCCTATTATTGCTATTGCTGCCTATATTCACTCATTTTTATAGTGCAGTGTTGAATTGTACCTACTGGAGCCATCATGACACTTCTGTTCTCCTAAAGTTATTAGGAGAGCAGAACAGGAGAATAGTGGCTGAAGTGTTTTGGCAGACTGGCGTTTATTCAAACACTGTAAACAAAACTAAATGAAACTTGTCAGGAGGCTGTGGAAAGCACGCTGGGAGAAACTATGTAAAATACATGGGTCAGATAACCTACTGGTACTATTAGGTAGAAAAAATATTTGCTCGTATGGCCAGCAGGTGACTGAAAAGGGGCTCTCAGTCAATAAATATATGAAAAACAGGATGTTGAGTTTGCACATGGACTTGATTATTTTAAATTATTTTTTATAATAAACTCTCCAGGGGTATTTTCATTGCTTTCCAAGGTATTTTCAATGCCAGATTTACTGAATATTACCGTTATTTACTATTAGGAGCAACCCAGAACCAGGACTAGGGAAAACTAAATGGTACATTGGAAAAACATGAGTGTGCCTTGTGCTACAGCATGATTCTCAAAATGGAGGGTGGGACACAAAGTCCACCTGGACCTATGGAATATGTCTCAGAGGCAAAATTTAAAATAACTCTACAACTATCTATTCTGAGCACAGAAGTAAATGTATGAAAAGGAGGCTGCACTGGGGCTGACCTTGCAACACTGCAAGTATAGAACACCCTTGATTTTGGGCTGCTTCCCAGAATAACTAGTTCCCATGGATTACCCTCTGGGAACCTATAGATGTTCCACCAGCTGCCATCTCACTGCAGAGCTGGGATAAAAAGAGCAGCATTATTTATAGTGTTATTCAGGTAATTGTTAGGAGTAACAAGATGGAGCTGGGAAAATGAAAGCAGGCAAGATACCAACAGCAGCTTCCTGACAGGGAGAGGTACTAAAGTGTCATCTGTTCCTCCTAAGGGAAATTATGAAATTTACTATTATGCAGGGCATTAACAAGCAGACTAGACAAAATATGAGAAAATGTACTGCAGGGAATGGTCCTGCAGTAGCAGGAGATGGATTCAAAAGCCTAACATCTTTTTTTTTCACATCTAACTTACACCCTTCTGCTGTTTTATGACACTATTATTTCTCACTAAAGTGTTTGCTCATCTACAGTACGGGAACTACCACAGTGTTACCTGCCTGTATCTAGTTCAGATATGCCTTTTTAAGCTACTTTTCAGCAGTTACAGTGATAATGAAGACGGACCACATTGACCACACAGCAACATGCTGATTTTCTTTTGGTTGTTTCTTTTTTTTTTTTTTTTTTTTTCCTATAAGCCAGTTCATTTTGGCCACAAAATGACTAGATTCTGTACTCAGCAGAGTTCTGCTAATTGATGTTCTTTCAGTCTTTCCAAACTTTTTTTTTTCCCTCCAAATATCTGTATAACCTTTATGTTAATCCTGGGCAAATTAGGAATTATGCAAGTAGGAAATCAGCCATAGCAAAGACTGTTTCTGATGTTTGAGCAAGATAAGAAGCTCTATCACTTCTTGCTGTGTGCCAGCAAGGCAAAGCATTAACACAGTAGCGTGTTTTGCTTTTGCAAGGGGGCTGTTCTCTCTTACAATAATCTGACAACCAGGGAAAGTCCTCACTGCCATCTAGAAGAGATACTCAAAACTTTTTTCTTGAGGATGATTACTGCATTTCATGCTAAGGTACAAACATAATCTACACAACTGAGCTCACTCTGCTGGTGCTGTGGCCAAGCACCTTTGTCCTCCACTCTAAGTAAGCTCTCACTGTCAGGTCCTATCAAACTAATTCACAGTTATGGGAGAATTCCCACACTGTTGCCATCTGGCAAGGTACTCAAATACCGTAACAAGAGCACTTCTCTTACTACAATGTCAAGTAAGGTTGACAAAGATAATTAAACTAGGGGGAATATTAAGCTACATGGTACTGTTTTTTTTGTTTTAGTAAAAAAAAAAAAAAAAAAAAAAAAGGGGCAGGAAATGTAAATAAAGAAAAAAACCTGAAATTTTAAAATTGCTGATCAGCTATTGGAAGGGTGATCAGAAAAATAGGAGTCAGAAAGAGAGCATCGTGCTTAAAAGCACACTGTGTATTTGCAGTATATCTTAGAATCCTAGAATTTGAGCAAAGGAAAGCAAACCAAACCAAAAAAAAAAAAAAAAAAAACACAAAACAAAACAAACCCACAACATTCTCAGAATTGTGAAGGAATCTACAGGTAAATGTTATGGAGTGAGCTGTAGTGTTGCTTGTGCTTTTCTGCTATAATCTCCTCCACGGAAAGCCCATTCATTCTCTTTAAGCCACTCGATTTTTTACACTCCTAGATAAACACAAAGACCTTGCAGCTACTGAATCTCACTTTCATTTACTTGAAAACTTCTTTGCACCATACAAGTTCTATTTATGTTCTTCAGATGCCTGTAGCCTGAGAGATTTTTGCAGTCCAAAGGAGCCTTTGCATAAATATGTTCAAGCTAATACAACAGAAATAGAAAACAACACTGTGCTCAATTTAAAATCGCTAGTAGCAGATCATTAGAAAATAAATGCAGAGAACCAGATAGACAGTATTACTGCACCTCCTGAACAATCCCCATCAAAATCCAGGCGCAATAAATAGCCATAATTGCTGCCATAAACAGGTATACCTTTGCAAATAGCAGATGAATGATGATGAATGGAGTCTTCTTGTCATACAACTTCTAAACTGTATTGTATATTTTGAAATATTTTGAAGTTGTTTCAGCGTGGATCTCAGTTTAGATGATTTTCTCAACCCTATGTCACAGTGCCACAAAGCAAGGTCAGTATCTGTTTTCACGCATTTATGTGAAGCTGTGTGGGAAAATGCTAGTAACAAAATAATTTAAAGTGCACAGTCTGTTTAAGGAGACATTAAATGGCAAGTAAAATGCTATCCTGGAATAAAAATAAGAAAGCAAACACTGCTTGTATTTTAAGAAGATTAAAGTACCTACATAAACAGCTTCTGGTAGGAGAGAAAAGGAATATATACATTTTTGAAGCAAAGCCAAATTTCACTGTGGGAGCTCCCATCAGGTTAAGGGGTGGGTTACGTGGAAACAAAGATTAGCTGACACTCTCCAGGTTTTTCTGAAGACTATCACTTTCCCAGAGTCATTTGTGTGTTCTCAAGACAAATGTTTGTTTTTTTTCTTTCTCAAACCCAATTTATTGGGATTTGCCTCAGTTGGCCATTCAGCACAGACTGCTGTTAATCAGATAACATTCTGAAGCAGACAGATGCCTCAAGTAATTTGAAAACAATGCAGATCTTTACCTACATAGCATTGCAAGGACCTGGCCTCTTTCTGCTAGGGTATCACATAAACTCAAATGCTTTAATTGTTAGGCTATATTTTCAAGACCTCATCAGGCATCTACTCTGTGTTGGCATTATTCCAGGTAGAGTTCCTTCCTTCCTGACTGATGTGAGCACTGAAGGAGAGAGAAAGATGATTGGGGTTTTTGGTTTTGTTTTTAAATCTGAATGCGTGAGTGCAGGTACAGCTGGATTCTAGCAGCTCAGAGCTTGCTTTCACCCAGTGCCTCTGTATGTCTCACCCATCTGTGTGTGGAAAGAATCAATCTCAAGTTAGTCTTACACTCTATGAAGGGATAGAACCAAAAATGCTTTTGGTGGAAGAATTCTCTGTTCCTCTGCTCTTCATTCTTTGGTCCTGACATACCTACCTCCCTTGGCCTATTTAGGCTTCAAGTATAACCCACTGTCACAATTGCAGGATCTTCTTTTATATCTGATAGGTGTGATTGTTACTGTAGCTGTCCTTAGGCTCTTGAACACTGGGGTCTGAATTTATGTCTAGATTCATAGCTTCTTGAGAATGCAGAGAGAGATGAAGTGAGAAAGATGTGCAAACTTTAAGGCTTTAAGAAATATGCAAAATGTCTACCCTGCCTGGAGAGCAAAA